CAACTTTCTTCTCTCTTACAACAGTACAATATTACGTATGTATCTCACATAAAACACCCGCTTGGTCTTACAGCAATAAAATAGTTCGTTCTGGGCAAAGTTCAGGTCTGCAGGAAATGTTGGTAATGTCAACTTGCTGGGAAGGAACAAAGAGAAAAAACTCCCCTCTTGGAGACTCCTTCCTCATCCTCTCCCGCAGTTCCTTCTACCTGTCATCGGTTTTACCTGTGACTGGCTTTTGTTTTGTTGTCAAACACATATGCACGTAAGATAAAGTTGATACAGTAACAACTTTTACTATGGAAAATTTTAGAGGTCAAGATATTAGTAACAACTTTCCCATCCCTCCCTGAATACACAAATGACTGGTGGGAAAATGCTCTACTTTAATCTGAAAGATTTCTGTAGGCGTTTGTGTCTTATTTGCAGGAAGTTGGACTGATCCGACGGTGCAGAGACTGAGCTTTTGCTTGTAGAAAAATGTCTCTTTTTAGTAGCTCCAGCAATTACTTGATTTGCTCTGGAAAGGGAATGGAATATGTATCCGTAACAACATTTTGCCAGCACCGCTCCTTGAAACTTACATGGAAATTCCAGAAATTATCAAGTTTTTGGAACATAGCCAAATTTAAACGAGGTATTTTGCGGCTCCTGTGTTAGTGACAAATACCAGACCACAGAAGGTAGCAGAATAACTGTGCTCTGCAAAGTCACGAAGCAGCTGGTTTGAGCCCATGCTTTGTAAGCAGCGCTGGCACGGGCCGGTAGAAAGCTGTATTTTCCTGTCACTATGATTTTTTTCATTTTTTTCTGTTCGTTTACAAGAGAAAATAGGAGACTGGAGATAGTATATATAAAAAAAAAAATTAAAACACCATTATTGCTGCCATTTGGATACCAGTCCAATATAGCAAGCCTCCAAGACCCACAAAGAGCAGGACCCTGGCAGAACTGCTGTACAACAGGAGCAAGCAGGTGTCTCAGGTCGTCCGTACCATAACTGGCAATCCTGATGATAATTGAAGAAAATTGTTGTGGTTCTGTGCTTCCTTCCAATTTGCTTCCAGGATACTCTGTAGCCTCAAAGTCTAACTTTTGTTAGGATCTCATTAGCTGTTGGTGCAATACTTGTTATAAACTTGTGGGCTAAATGCCTGACAAGAGAGTGTGGTTTTATATTTTGTTTTGAAAGCTGATATAAAATCTTGCTCAGGTTCCCCATCTTAACTCTCTGAAATATCATTGCTCATTTGATCTTCAGAGTCATTTCTGGTTTACAGCACATTTTGAGTCATCTCCTCTGTTTACTGTAGAAAAAGCCGGGCTCTCTGTCCTGGCTTTGAACAACCTGTGGGACCTGCACATGAAAACAAATGAACTTCCAAGAATGTCCATGCAAAGCAGATGCCGTGAACCTCCCTTTGCATTTATTTCTTGTGAAGCCAGCAGCTCTAACAGCAGGGCAGGTGCTTCCATGGAGTCAGTGTTCTCAGCATAGACTGAATTCCTCCATTTATTGTCCGAGAAAATTAAGTGGCTTCGCGTCCTCGAGGCAGTGAGAGGTGCGGGTGCAAGGAGGGCGAAGCTCGTAGCCCTTCACCAGCGGGAGCCGTCGCTGCAAGGAGAGGCCCGGAGAGCTGGGGCAGGTCCGTCTGGAGAAGGCTTGAGGGGCTCTCATCCATGTGTACAAATTCCTGATGGGGTCAGGGAGGGTAAATATGGTGGAGCCAGACTCCTCTCAGCAGTGCCCAGTGAGGGAAGTAGAGGCAATGGGCATAAGCAAGGAATTATGTAAGAAAAAACTTCTTCACTGAGAGTTTGGTTGAACAATGTGGCAGGTTACTCAGAGAGGTTGTGCAGTCTCCTTGGAGATACTCAGAACCCAACTGGACGTGGCCCTGTGTCCAACTGCCCTGCTCAGAGACGGGTTGGACTGTCCGATCTCCAGAGCAGAAAGCCTTTCCCTTCCAGAAAGGCTCCCGAGCAGCCTTAACAATCCCTGTGGGCAGTGCTCACCTCCACAGGGCGCAGGCTGCCAGAGAGCTTCATTCAGGTCTGGGATTTTGCAGAGCCCCCAGAACATGGAGCCAGCAAAGCCCAGGACCTCACCATTTAGTACTGCTGCTCTAGCTTCCAAGGTAATCAATGTGATGAGCACTGGGCTTATTTCAGGTGACTACGTACTGTGATCCCCTTGTTCATCCATAAATTTGGGGGTGAACATATACAGAGAGCCGATTCTGCTTCTGTGGACAACCAGCGGAAGGTTTGTGCTGGGACCACAGCGTGGCTCTCTCACAAGCTTCCTCAGTTAGCAAAGCGAAGGAGAGGCTTTGCAAAACTTCAACTGCCAGAACAGAAAAAAGAAGCCAACCTGCTCACTAAGCATTTCCCCTAAAAAGAGAAAGGTGGTCGGTCTTCTCTGTTTAACCTGCTGGAAGCAAAGAACAGAAGAAATATTTGCATCTAAATCGAGTCAATCAATCTGGCTTCTAATTACGAGCACGTAATATATTCCAGAACACGCACAGCTTTCCTCAGTCACTTATCAGTGTAACCTCTCTTATCAGTCATGCCATTGTGGTTGAAGTCGTGTTTGTGGTTACAACCCAAAAGAAGCAGAGAAAAATACGTAATGGTGGGAGCCTGAGGGTCACCTGCAGGCAGG